GCCTCAGCCCCTCTGCACATAAATGTAAACACAGAATGTGTTTTAAAATAAAGTGCAATGCAGGTCAGCCCAGTGGGTTAGCGCTGCATCAGGAGATCCTGGGTATGACCGTCCACTCAACCACATGTTTGCTTCATTAGAGACCACACGGCCCACCCACAGTGTGCACACACGTGATGATTACATGTACTGTGATAGTCATCTGGCCAACATGTGGCCAAGTCGTTACAGCCTATTTCACCCTTTCTTAGGGTGGATCCACAATACTTCTGCCTTAGGAGGGATGGATCACTGGCTTAAAAGATTAAATTAAAACAACCATGAGTTTGAAGTATTTTTCCCAATTAGTGTTGAAGTTTTTTAAATGTTTCTCTTCATTGCTTTTGGTGAATTTGCTGTTGTTTCATCTTGCTGAAACCCTCACTGTCCCCTGTGACTCTGGGGCATCATGTGCTTAAAGGCTGTTATCTTCAGTTTGGAAACTTTTGCAACATCTAAAAACCTCAGCCAGAGACTCCACTGCGCCCTCTGCAGGCCGGTCTAGCTGCAGAAAAACACACTGGCACAAAAACGCCCGGCCGTGTGTACGTCTCAAGACTTTCGGTCTTAAGGAAGACTGTGTCTTTCAGTTTCATGAAAGAGTGAACTGCGCAGAGCATCTGACAGCGGCCCAAGGACACATAATAGGAAAAAGCTGCTTTTGATTAAGTGTTTTTCCTGGCCGCTTCAGACAGGGCACAACAGCAGAGAATAACAGCCCATTCACCACTCCAGTCCAGTAGAGTCCAGAGCAGTCGTGGTGTAAGAGTCTCCAGCGGTCGAACCCCTGCTGATCTCACCAGGAAAGAGGCACCAGCTTGCAGCTAAACCTGGTCACATTTCACCTGTCTCATAGCCCAATTGCAATTTCTTCTTAAATGAATAACATTTTGTGTGTTAAAAGGTATTATATGTAGAACGAATGTAAGGTGAAAGAATGTAGTTTTTCAGATTCGCTCTCGGCCAGTTCAGTAAGTGATGCCTCTGTTCTGTAACGGGGTGAGGGGTGGGGGATCGTAAGATAAGCAGACTCTCCATCTTGGTTTTAAATATAACGAGATAAATTCGTCGTAACTCCTTGTGCAGTCCTGCCAGGACTGTGAGTCCTGGAAATATAAACCTCATCGCCCTGCAGATCCATCGTGATGTACCGTGGTAAAGGGCAGTGTAGAGTGTGGAAAAACAGAGTGAGATCTGGCTCAGGGCTTGGCAGTGCGTGGTGAAGCATCACACACACTGTGAGCCATCATGGCAGAGTGAACCCAGTGGCCAGTGCGAGCATGGTGGAGCAGAGTAAGTCGGTGAAATCCACTGTGGTGTGTTCTGATAAAGGCTGTCGTCCCCCCTGGCGTGGGTCAGGACTGAAGCTCAGGTCCCTTCACCTCTGATGTCGCTCAGCTCAGCACAAAAAAAGACAAGCAGCACACAGAAGGAGGATGTGCAGCACAGACTATAACACTGACTCATTGTAGCAATTAAAGTCCTCACTCTGACACACGACTCATCACGCAGAATGTGTTACAGTGCTCACCCTGTAAGTATTTATTTGATCAACGCTGCTTGACATCTAATGTACTTCCAGCCTTCCAGCATATGGGCCTTGTATTAACAGAGGCAGATCCAAGAAATATTTCCACTTCGCATTCACACACAGTGTACAGGCCCGTTGATTTAAATCCATTCAAGTGTATAAAGACTGTAACACACACTGGCCCCAGGAGAGTACCTGTACCTACTAGTCCCCTGGCCTTGAAAATAAATTATCCTTATGTCGTGTAGGCCTACAGGAGGAATTAGCAGTACGAATCGCACGGATCAGCAATTTCTAAGAGGCGAATGAAAAATCGGGATTGTGCAGATCACGGGTAGATCTTGGGTGTTGTGTTCCGTCTCAGCATTTGCTGTGGTACCCCAGGGGTACATAGCAGAGCTGAGAGTGAGAACACAGAGGGTTGTTGAAAACATTACAGGGCAGGTGGGTACTTATGGTTAAGCAAAACAGAAAACAACCCAGGCAGGGTACAGGCACAAGAGCACACCAAGGCACTGTGTACATTTACAGGAATACATTTTCAATACAAGGATACAGCATGGTGCCAGTTTGTGCTGCTCATAATTAATAATAATTGCTTACACTTATATACTGCTTTTCTGGACACTTTACTCAAAGCGCTTTACAGGTAATGGGGATCCCCTCCATAGTGCTCCAGTCCGCTCACCACACACCAGCTCTCTGTGGGGAGGAGAGCAGAGTGATGAAGCCAGTTCAGAGATGGGGGTTATTAGGAGGCCATGAGTGGTAAAGGCCAGGG